ATTTGGTTTAGGCAGAAAGACAAAATTGCATATTCTACCGCTTACACACACGCGCACACTCACACACACACACACATATAAATACACAAATGTATACACACACACACACACACACACACACACACACACACACACACACACACATATATATATATATATATATATATATATATATATATATATATATATATATATAAATATATATATATATATATATATATATATATATATATATATATATATATATATATATAAAGCATCTATTATTTTTCCTTTAACCGGTTTCGTATCTTCCCCAGCAGTGGCGCGACCCCGAGGAGAGTAGCAGAGGTGGAGCGAGAGGAGGAGGAGGAGAAAACTCACCAAGAAAGAGGAAGAGAAACAGTAAGAGAGAGAGAGAGAGAGAGAGAGAGAGAGAGAGAGAGAGAGAGAGAGAGAGAGAGAGAGAGAGAGAGAGAGAGAGAGAGAGAGAGAAGATGAAGAACCAGAAGAACAGGAAGGCCACGTGTCTCTTTGTCTTCCCAAAATAAAGGCAACATCAACTTTTTCTTTTCGTGTGAAGAGGAGCCTTGTTGGTAAAGCAAACAGGTTTCTGAACGATTGGACGCTGCTCTTTCCTTTAAGTTTTTGGAAAAAAGGAGAGAGAGAAAAAAAAGAGAAAAAAGGAAAGAAAGAAGGGCTGGAAGAAGATGCTGTGGAATCTAGTTGGTCAAATCTGTAAAACGTTTAAGCTGTGTTCTCCAAGTAACAGCAAATAACAACAGCAATAACAAAAACAATAAAAGAAATTTCCATCAATCACAGAAATACAAAAAAAGAAAAGAAGAAAAAAATCATATGGAAAAAGAGTTCAAGACCACTTGAAATCCGAACGAAACTAAACGATTCCCAATACATATCGATCAAGTAAAAGACAAAAAAAGGGGGGAAAAGTCGAAAATAAAAGTCAAAAAGGTTCGAAGTTGTTATTGCTTGAATCTCCCCCTCGTGGTCTGTCTCCTCAGCTCACGGATTCTTCGCATATTTTGGACTGTTGCCTGTCGTCTTTGTGGTTAATAAGAGACGATATTAATAGCAAAGGTCTTATTTTTGACTAAAGAAGGGCATGTAATAACAGGAATAATAGGAAAAGGTGATCCAGAAGATGATATGATACAAGAATTGAAATATTTTTTTGTGTGCGTGAAAGTGACTTTTTGAACAAGCGTAGTGACGGTAAGGAATATGGTGAATTATAATAGACGCCGCATTGTAGCTAAATAACATGATACGATGACAATGTTAAAGGAATAGTAAGAAATAGTTGTGAAAGACTTAATATCTTAGTAAGAGAGAAAGACAGAGAACAATAATCCAATAACGAAAATATTCCAAACAAAAACGAAAAAAAACATAGCCAATTGAAAACATCAGATTGCTCACCCCGTTTCATAACATTTATTCCCCGAGCGCAAACAGCAAATGGGTCATGTAAATATTAGTATTGTAAATTTCAAACAAAACCTATAAAGAGAGCATAGCAGGCGCCAAAGTACAGCGACACTCATTTGTTTATTTACATAGTCTTCTGTCGTGACCTTTTGGTAGATAGGCTGTTTCCAATGCTGGTTTGTAAAGGAAAACAGTTCGCTGTCCATTAACCTTTGCTCGAAGCTGTTGGAGATAGGATATTTATGAAAACAGTTGGAAATAAAACATTAATACATTAAATGAAACTGTCAGATATCTACCATATCTCTTTTGGAATTTTGGAAAATGGGATGTTGATACTCTTTAAAATCAAATATATTAGTTGAAGTTGCTAGCGAATTACAGAATTTCTTTGTGAAATGTTTGAAAAGTGAGACTTTGATTAAAACTGTCGGGAATCAGGTATCAATTGAAATTCTCAGACATATATAAAAATATCCTTTTGAAACATGGAAAGTGGGATGTTGATTACAGCTTGCAAAATAAAATATGTTACCTGATTTTTTTTTGAAGATTTAGATACACCTCTCCTTTAGAAACTCTTGAAAAGAGATATTACCTGGAATTCCAGGAAAATTATATGTATATTTGAAATTGTCTAGAAATCTGGTATATCAAATGAAACAAAGAAAATGCAATCCCATTTGAATATTAGATTTCAGGATATTAAAATCAGTTGGACTTGAAGAATGTTCATGACTGATGGAAAAATAGAGAATTTGTCTTCGATGTTTCTTGAAACTATTAAAGATAGAAATTTGGTTTGAAATCATAAAAAATATATATATATATTCGTAACGTATTTAAAACTTTTAGACGCAGACTTTAGAAAATCACGAAGCGCATACGTGTGCAAAGCTGTTGCAAGTAAAAATATATTACATATAATTTTTAAAATATACAAAGAAATTGTTACAAGACATTTCTGGAAATATATACATGGCATAAAGTTGTTTAAAATAGAGACAAAATCTGTGATAATCCTCATATATTAGTAAAATTTTAAATGATAAATCTGATACGTGTGAAC